TCTTTCCAATGTCCTGAATGAGCCCCAAGCCATGCCTCTGTACATTTGTTTGTTTTCAACTCTTGGCAATTTTCATCTAATGAAAAGAGAATTTTAAAACAAAGAAGAAATAAAAAAAAAGTAGAGAGGTGTATGCTCAATCCAGTGTTTCATGTGCTTTTTTTAGCTTGATACTGTGAAGAAAACCAGAGTACTTCCTTTTTTTTGTCAAAACCCCCAAAAAAATCAGGAACCTTATAGGGGATCTAGATCTGCTATTTAGCTTTTCTTATGCATAGAAAGCCCCTTCAGTCATCTAATATTACAGCAAGAAAGTTGAAATACAGTAGTTTAGTACTGTATCTGAAATAAACCATCATGTCTGCATTAAGGAGGAAGATAAACAGCCCATTAGCTTGCTGGATTAGCACATTCTCCTCCCCAATTTGCAATAAATACTGCATGACTGCCTTGTGACAACATGACTTTACACAGTCTAAACCACTCATTCACCAAGGTCCTAGGGATCAGCGAAACATTTCAACATTTGTTTGAACTTGAAGCATAAGTAAAACCACTGCCAGGGACTGGGCATGCCATCAAAAGTTTTCTAAATAAAATCTTCAATGTTTACAGATAAACAGTATTTTAAATGTTGGATTACTGGTCTAGTTTGGAACTCATTGAAGTCAGTAGTCTTAAACAGTGTGGTGAAAAAGATTCCATCAAAGCACTATGTACATATCTAATTTTATATGTAGTTAACATTCTTAGCTTTTTTTTTTTCCTGTTACATTTAAGTCCACAAGTAATCACTTGACATAATTCAAAGACATATACACCAAAAATTATGTGAACTGTTGCTTGGGTACCTGTCATGTCGTACGATAGGTGTAGGCAGGACACAGGTCAGGAGCCATCCAAACTCAGCCAGCGTGTGCAACAAAGGTCCATAATCTGTTTTAATTTCACATCCCTACATTAATAATTATAAAAAGTAGTAAAGAGACTCTGTACAGGTTTTATTTGCATTTCTACACAAATTTCAATGACTTTCCTCTCATTCACAATGAGATAATTCTTTGAGATTATGACAAACTGTGTTGTTTGGCAGAGATTCATTATTTCAACCCAAAAATAATTTCAGAAATTCAAGACTACAGAAGACTAGGAAAACAGACAGAACATACTAACTTTGGGTATGAGACCTGATTCAGCAAGCACATCTCACTGGTTTAACTTGCCATGTTACTCAATCAATACGTAGGACTTTGAAAACACCATAATAGGTGTGTCTATTGATGAATTTAGGTTTTTCCTTAAGTTTTTGGGGTTTGGTAGTTTGTTTGGATTTGTTTTTTTTGTGTGTGTGGTTTGTTTGGGTTTCTTTTATGTTTTAAATACACAGGGTCTTAATCTTAGGCTGCCTCTTTTCACATTGGTAAGTGTATTTCTCATTTGAGTATTTCAAAAGTAAGCCTGTAGTATCCTCCAACCACAGTTCCTTTCAGATGTTATTAAATCATACCAATTATATAATATATAAATATTTTAAAACATTAAATTAATGCTGTACCATGCCACAGTAGTACATGTACATCAGAAAAAATGTAGTTTTATTTAGCAGTAAAACTCTACTAAGAATATACATCTGAAAATGACAATTCACTATAAATTTTTTCATGTTCTGATTCTATTTTTTGCTTATGTTCCTCTTTTTATTTAAAAATACTTCAACACACTGTCAGTGGAGCTGCACTTAATGAAATTATGTCTAAATTGCTCTGAAACACATACATTTAAAAACCCCAAACAAAAAATTTTCTTTGGTGGCTGTATTTGCTGGTATGAATATTTGTAAATGTCAGCCAGAACCCCCAGGGCTTATTTTTTTTTATACACATTGACCAAGAGCCACAGGCCTGACTGTTTTTATGATTCAAGGTTTTGCTTTAGCTTAGGTGGCTTTGAGACTCATCCTGAATGTTTATCAAACACTAGTACAAGCATTTCAAGGAAAAAAACAAAGAAAATCTATGTAGGAAATAGCATCGCTAAATAATCATCCATGTACCTCAATGACTGTCCATTGTTCAACAACTATTGCATCATTTCCTTTCCTGTTAGAACCTGGAATCCCAGAACCTTCTTCTTCATAGATAAATAATCCTTCTAAAGATTTGGGCAAATAGTCCCCTGTGAACATAAAGACAAACACAAACTGAAACAGTTTTAGGCTGGTACCTTACTGAGATGTACCCATGGGCTTGTTTTTGCTCATTTAAGTCCTCTAAAATGAAATGGGACAGCAAGTCACTCTAATTTGTTATTTCCAATTTGTTATTTCACAACTCAATGAATTATTCAAGTCAACTTATTGTTCAAAATGCTTTTTATCCTACACAAATTGAACCCTTGCAGCTTCTCAAAAGCATTAGCCACTTGCATGCTCTCATCTGCACTCTGATTCCCTGCATTCAGCACATCCCCTGCAGCAGAGAGCCACAAACCCTCTTTTATTCCACTTCAATACCACAGGCTCGACCATCAGTGGGAGAGAGCACAGAGATAAAGGAAGCATGAAGTGCAAAGCCTACCTACTGCTACTGAAATAACTGCACACATGGCCACAGGAAGAGCCTGAAACAGAAGTAATTGGAGGAAGATTCCCTACGGGAAGGAAGCTTCAGAGCACAACTCTGAGTCACTTCTTGAAGCCTGACAGTATCCCCTTGGCCCAAACTGAAGCTGTGCATCAAATGTTCGTTTATTTCCTGGCTTTGCTTCTCCTAAGAGCCTTTTGTGCAGATGTACCTTAACAGCTGACTATCTTCAATTAAATTTGGTTTGAGTCACTTCTTGAAGCCTGACAGTATCCCCTTGGCCCAAACTGAAGCTGTGCATTAAATGTTGGTTTATTTCCTGGCTTGGCTTCTCCTAAGAGCCTTTTGTGCAGATGTACCTTAACAGCTATCTTCAACTAAATTTGGACTAAATTATGTACTCTTCAGAATATCAGATTCAAATCCTCTCTGATATTACACAATGGAATGTAAAGAGATGATTGGTTTTGCTACAGCTTCAGGGAAGGAAGATAAATTTAAAGGAAAAAAAAAAAAAGCAAAACTCAAACAGAACACAACAATGATCCAAATAGCTGCTAAGAGAACTTACCTGGATTACTTTTAAGACTGCATCCACTTTTGGGCAGCAGAAGACAGAAGTTGGTAGTTAAGAATTGGCAATGATTTAAAAATTATTTTTTATTCTTTTTACGTTAAAACTTCCTCCTACCCCCAACTGGGTATTGCATTTTGATCCTGGTAGCAAAAGAATCCTGCTGACTCTGCAGAACATCTGTAGAGTCCAAACTAGAGAAGGATTGCTGCAGCTGCCTGACTTGGTTTAATAAAAACAAAACCACCTGCTACAACAGCTAAAAGCTGCTCATTTCCCTAAAGCTGTACAAAAGGACAACTACTGCTAAAGACACCTCCCAGTCTAGAAGCAAACAAACAAAAGTGAGGTGAAGATGACAACTAGATGTACATGCAGACATACACAAAGTAATTCCTAGAATGCATGCAAGTACTTTTTCTTCCCCCAGAAAACGTTTTAGGCTTCCCTCTTGCACTGCCAACTTCTGGATGCCCAACTTTTATCTGGTTAAGGACTCAGTAGCTAAATTCATTTCTTACTGTGGTTACAGACACTTGATCAGCTGCAGAATTCCATCCACACAGTGGGCAATGCCTTTGAATATATCCAGCTTAACTCAGCAGTGTCCCACCCATGGATCTAACTGAAACACATACCAGTCAAGTGGGGCTGAAGCAGAAGCACCAACTGCTCCCAAAAGGCAGCATGAAATCCCTAAGTCAGTCACAACCTGGGTATTAAAGATGGAATAGTTATTCACATGGGGAAGAGCAGACAGCTACAGGGGAATGCAAGCCTGTAAAGCTGTTGTTTGACAACAGCTGCAAAGATTACTTCCAACAGCTGCTACAAACACCCCTCAGTGAATTGTAACTTATCTCCAGAGAGTTATTTTCCAGCTCTAAAAAAACCCTTGTATTGAAAACTAGAAGTCTGACTTCTCACCTCTGTTCCCCAAAAGGAAATTTTGGTCTTCCACTGACTTCAACAGATAGGAATTATAACTTAGGAAAATGCCATCGACACAAACCGCACCATTAGACTGTTTGTGCACACAAAATAGGCAGTTTGAGAAGGACTAGCTGCCAAATTCAATCAGGTAAATATAGTGATGCTCTTGTGCTCCCTGACAATCACTAAATTCACTGTATTGCAGAGAGGCAGCTGAACAGAAAAGTAGTGATTCACACTCAAAATTGAACTATTGAGAAAACAAACTGAGGCGTTCTCATTTTCAGGGTTTGCTTTTTGAAGATCCCACACCATCTAACTGCCAAAGATTTTATGTTTTAAATTCGTTTTCATTTCAGCCCTTCATTAATGCAAGCCTTGCAAAGGGGATGCTGAATGCATATTATTTTAAATAAGAATATCAGGAAAAAAACACTAAATAAGACATACAGTAAATACAAAAACCACTCAAACCCCCGTTAATTCTACCCTCCTTGTGTAAGCCATATAGGAAGCAGATGTAAAGTGACTTATTAAAGCCACTTTAATATATTAAGCAAACTACTGCACCTGATAATCAGCCAGAGTATTGCAAAAATTGTTAAGGTCTCTGAAACTTTCTCAACAAAACTTTTTAATGACACTTTTCTCCACTGCAGCCCTGTGTTTTGCTGGCTTACCTGAATGGTGCTAAGCAATTCTGAAGGAACATGAACAACTCAGTACAAGCAAGACATGAACAAATCCAACCAAAGAAAGTATCACTCCAGTGAAGAATAAATTCTATGTTTACAAACGACATTTATTACAGTAATTCCAGGAATTAATAACTGTCAGACTCTCTCAGTTCGTTCTCCTAACACTGGAGTTCAACCATTTTCTTCATATTATTTTCAAGTAATTGCACAACAGTAGCTACATACTGCTACATTCTGCAACAGTTCTAGTTTCTGGCTTTCTGACAAATTCAGTTCAAATGCAAATGAATCTCTTAATTACATATTTTACCAAAACCAGAGTTTTAGAGTACAAAACAGTCTAGCCAATAAAAAACAAAAACAAAAAAACCTCTTTAAGTCCAGCAAAGAGCTGGAGAAAGCAGCAAGCACAGAAAAGTCTGACTTAGGTTTAACAGCACAGTAAATTATGTAGTTCTACATAAACAAGTGAAAGCTTCATGATATTCTGGGAGAGTACTCACCTTTAGAAGTTTCCCAGTGTACAAAAGAATCAACTAAGGACAATCCTTGTTTATAATAAAATGTGGTTAATTCTAGCCAGTCTGCTTCCAGTGTACTAAAAACTGGCCCTTTTCTTGTGACTTTCATAGACAAAACACCTTCATGATAGGTCCAGCAGGTAGAATCATCATCAAAAACATTGAAGACTGTATATAGCTTGTCTAAGAAAAGAAAAAGGAAGAAGAATGAACCTCTGGAAGTAAGCACTCCAAAATAAAAATACAATGAATCTTTTATTTCAACATGGTTTTCTAATTCTAAGCAACAGCTTTAAGGATTGTTTGCTGATGTGACTGTACTCAGCTTGAGCCCTAAACACACTCAGGATGAGGTGTGAGGGGTGTATGCTCTAGGGTATGAGAAAAATTTGACATTGTGTTGTCAATGGACCTTTCAGGTAGTTGAGTTTTCATAGAATCATAGGGGTTGGAAGGGACCTCGAAAGATCATCCAGTCCAACCCCCCTGCCAGAGCAGGGTCACCTAGAGTACATCACACAGGAAGGCGTCCAGGCGGGTTTTGAATGACTCCAGTGCAGGAGACTCCACAACCTCTCTGGGCAGCCTGTTCCAGTGCTCCGGCACCCTCACAGCGAAAAAATTTTTCCTGATATTCACCTTGAACCTCCTATGCTCCAATTTGCACCCATTACCCCTTGTCCTATCACAGGTCATCACTGAAAAAAGCTTAATCCCATCTTCCTGACACTCACCCCTTACATATTTGTAAACATTGATGAGGTCACCCCTCAGTCTCCTTTTCTCCAGGCTAAAGAGACCCAGCTCCCTCAGCCTTTCCTCGTAAGGGCGATGCTCCACTCCCCTAATCATCTTTGTAGCCCTCCGCTGGACTCTCTCCAGCAGCTCCCTGTCCTTCTTGAACTGAGGGGCCCAGAACTGGACACAGTACTCCAGATGCGGCCTCACCAATGCAGAATAGAGGGGGAGGAGAACCTCTCTTGACCGACTAACCACACCCCTTCTAATGCGCCCCAGGATGCCATTGGCCTTCTTGGCTACCAGGGCACATTGCTGGCTCATGGTCATCCTTTTGCATGAAGAAAATATCAAACCTAAGAAAAACTCAGTGGAAACTAGCTTCATTTCAGCTACTCATGGAACTTCTGACTACAGCTATCTGAAATTGTTAACCGAAGATTAAAAGACAGTTTCTCAATTTTTAGATATTAGAAATGCCTTGTACAGTTTTGATTTTTACCTCTTATTTTCTGATGATTACTTAAAATTAAAATTCACAAATCCGCAACATTTTAGGAAATCAGTGGTGACAAGTTATGAAGTTATATAAATGTGTTTTACAAAAACACTCACATGTACATCACTGTCATGGAGAAATAACAGAAAGCAATTGCCAAAAAAAGGCTCTCAGACTGCCTAATGCTTCAACATCTGAGCAGCCTAAATCAACACAAACCCACTTCTAGAAAGCAGCATTCACACTGCCAAAACAAAAGGAACTTCTGGATGATCCCAGTTAGGATGCTAGTCTCTCTAGGTCCCAGAAATAGATTTCCAAAACAGGATTTGAACTCTCAGTAGTCTACATCCATCTTTGGGAGAACCTTCCTCTGTTTTGAGAAGTGTTACCACACCTACAGCAAGTGACATCAGATGCCTGAAATAAGGTAAATTCAGGACAAAATTTTGAACACTACCAGTGAGAGATGACTCTCCTTCATATACAGCTTAATTTTATCATCTTCACAGGTAATTATATTAGCATAAATGTATTTACCCTGTTAATCCTTCATTTCCTATCACATACACCAAAGTGAGATCACTTTTATATTTGCTTTTTAGAAAGAGGTAATCAAGGTTCATGATACAACTATTCAATTGCTCATGTGGATCAGAAATTTGCCTCTGCAAATAATATATTTATAAATAGTCAAAATTCATACATTATGACCCCAAATCTGGAACCCAGACAGTTCTGCACCTTTTGAGCAGAGCTAAATAGAAATGGGGTGCTGGAGTGGTAGCACATGCCTATATGAACGTAAGACTTTTTGAAAATTTGTGTTAGTATTTTTTGAAAAGAGGGCTACATACAACATTTACAAAGAAAGTCCATTAAGCTTTCAGAAGTTTTGTCTTATTAACTCAAATAACCTTAACTGGGTATTTGACTAGTCTAGAGAAACTTAGATTCTTGCCAAAGGTTTTTGAAGAGCTCCTGAGAATGCTGCATGTAGGGATGCACTGATTGCTAATTTATCTGGTCACACCAGCCTGCATGAGCTAAGCTCCTAACAGAACCAAAAGTTCTCTGCTTTCCACGTGCAGGATTTCTATCCTGCTACAGAAAGCAAACCCACTATTGCAAGCTGTAAGGAAAGAGTTAAGTTTTAACAGGTCATGCTAAAAAGGCTCAGTTGTACAAGAACTGCTTTAATTCAAGTGTTAAAAATAAGAGGGACATTGATTATCTCAGTGCTCAGTCATTATCCTGACAGTCTACCAACTGGAGAGGGTGCTTAACTCTCAACAGGAAAGTGAAAAGGTTGGGTTTGAGAGCAATTCAAACATGTCTGGCCCATCACAGAAGACTTATGTCAAAAGACAATTAACATGGAAGTTTTATGCTGCCTGCTTTCTACACAATACTATCTCTTGTATTAATTCTCATACTTCCTTTTCACCTTTTCTTCCCAGCAAACCAGGAGGCCTTAGTGACTCAGTATCAAGTCACTGTTCCAGGCAGTCTCTCACACAGACTGTGGAGTATCTCAGATCCCTCTACAATGAAGTTTCTACCAGAGCACCAACATTTTTCAGTTGTACTTTTCCTTCCTATACAACTTTCTAATGCTTATTTTCAGTGCTTACTTTTCTGTAGCTTAAATTCATTTTGTAACAATTACCCTCTTTGATTTCATGGTCAATGCATTAATTTAAGTGATCTCTTTCAGGATGCTTCTTGAAGGCATGTTAACCAGAAAGAATCCATTATGAACGGATTAGTTTGCTGCACGTTATGTGAATTGGGTAGAAGTACATAAAATTACAGATCTAGATGGAAGGGGTTCTCTTTGTGGTCTTTTTTGAGACAGGGAGAACTGGAATCATAAACACGTCATGGATTTTCAAGACTATGTTATGATTTAATATTAAGAGTAAGTAAAAGCTATATGATTTAGGGAAAGGTTTTAAAATAATGCTGTCTTTCTAAAAGAAGATTTTCACTGCCACATATTTGTTATACATGTACCAAGCAAAAAAGTTATCCATTTGCAACACATTTATAATCAGAATCACACTGTGGGCAACTTGTGGGTTTTGTCTGGATGTTTTCCTTTTTTCTTTAAATTACAAACTAGAGTTTTCACAGTATATTTATAATAAACTATATGAAAACTGAAATATTTTAATATATTAGCACGGTTCATACACACATAGAATGTAAATATTTATTCTCTTTCTTTAACTGGTGACTCTTAGAAATATGTATGTATTTAAGGAAGACGTATCTTCCCAACCCACTATTTGATACAATAGAACATGCTGTTTGTTTTATTTTTTTCCAATGCAATTTAAAAACAATGGCTGAATAAACACCTTATTTCTGCAATAAACAAGCAGTATTTATTACCTTCTCCTTGTCGTGGCTTAACAGGGCTGACTTCTTTCCCAAACTGGAAATCTGCATCCTGTAACAGACTGCTTTCTCCTTGCGTTTCCTCCTCTATCCCACTCTCAGAAGAGTGACCACTCAGTGTTCCTTCACTCCAGTTTTTGTAATTCTCATCAGAATTTTTCCTTCGGTGTTCCCTGTTTCTTCTGCCCATTGTTGACTCTGGCTCTGCACTTCCATCCGCGGTCGTGCCATTGCAGGATTTAGGTTGAGGCAAATGTTGTGTTACAAACCCAACAAACTTCTTTCCTCTTTTAGCAGCTTCGTTAACCTGTATTTACAACAGAGATTTATCTGCAAAGTCATTTTAGAACTCATTTTAGAACTCCGTTTAACTAATCTGCAGATTTTCAAGGCCATAAAGACACAACACTACTCCAGAAGGGTGGCCTGTCTTTGCACATTGCCACTGAAATGACTTTGGACTCAGGCCAAGAAAGGTGCCCAACACTGGTACTGACTTGTGTATACAAAGTCCTTCATTTAGAACATATCCAAAGTATTTTAGCTGCTGTGTCATAGTGATAAGCAGCACACTGATGCAATAAATAGCATTATTTCTCTACACACATGATACCAGTCACACTGAACTTACTGACCACTAGTACTATAGAAATATCTGTTTGTCATGTGTCATGATTCATTATCCCCTGGTTCCCTCAGAGGCAACTCAGCTTCACTGTTATGGAGAACAATGATGGAGCACAGAAAGAAAGAAGCAAATTAAAACCCTCTTCACTCTGCTTTCAGCCAGTGGTGGGTCTTTTTCTTGCCACTGATGTCTCAAAACTGTAGGATGGGTGTCACCTGTGGGAGGTGTCTGTTCTTGGAGGGAAACTTTTTTTTTAAATTGGGATAAGGAGTGCTGCCATTTAGGAGGCTGAACCCATTGCCACCTTGTGCTATGAGCTCCCCTGTGCAATGAAGTTCTCAGGAACATACAGAAACTCCAGACTAGAAAGAAGAAATTGCCTGGAAAGTATTGGATTAAGTAGGAAAGGGAAGGAAAGATTTCCAGTCAATTAACTCTCAAACTGTTAATCCAAGTAACACTCAAATAGCTGATGGCACTACAGTCCCTTCTTAGTACCACAACAGACCAAAGGTTTACTATCTACCACTGTTCTGTATGTACAACAGTGATGTGATATGCCCATCACTGATTATATAGAGCTGCTGCTTCTCAATGTGACAAGCAACATGAAGAAAATGAAGGAATATGACAATCTTTCCCCTGAAATGCCACAAAGTCTTCCTGTTTCAATTTTTTTTTTCTTTTTTTAATACAAGTAATTTTTTTACTTGCTTACTTGTTCAGACTTTTTACAAACACTGGGAACATTTTAAAACCAAATTATTTTCACATACTGCTTCTGTATCAGATTTGCCTGCAAGACTGAATCACTGCTACTTTAAAGTGTCTTTTTCCTTTAAATGTTTGGTGTGCTATACAACCAACCTGGCAACATGCACGTAATATAAAATGGAATTCTCGTGCACATTATATTTGAAACACCTGAAAGTTTCAAAACAAGACATTTAGAAATTTTAAATGGATAATTTCAAAGATGCATGCTTTTTTCATCCAGCATGCTTTTTCCTCTACTTCTTTCCTTGGTAACTAATGTAAAAGATATCACTCTAACTCTTGTAATAACAACAGTTTCCTGTTTCGGCAAGTCTTCATTTTTGCAGAGGAAGTTAAACACAAAAAGAACTAAACTAGAGCCTGCATTCCAGTGGAATTTTAAACTATACAGTATTTTCAAGAGCTGTGCCAAATAAATATTTAATGTAGTCACTGTGTGTTTTGCATTTCTGTTAAAGAGCAAAAAAAAAAAAAAAAACACAACTTAGAAATTCAATATATTTGCCTTCATTAGGAATATCTCACATAACCCAGAACAACATAGAACTTCAGAATTAAAATAACTCCAGAAAAAGCTATCATAGAAGCATTTTATAAAGACTGAGAGTTTGGGGCCAATTCTGCTTTTAGTGGCATGAGTGGCTATTTTCCTAGAGCTTTACAGGGCTCAATACTGAAGTCCTAAATTAGAAAAAGCAACTACTGAATTAAAATAACTCCCTTCTCATCAAGAAAAGACTTTGTAGCTTCCATAAAGTAAACCAAGTTTAAATATCAAAACTAAAAAAACCACCCCAAATTAGAAAAAAATCAACTCCTAAAGATACCTTATATATATGATAGACATAAAAATATGCAGGAAAATTTGAAAAAACCCTCCATTACCTTTTCTAACAGTTCTTTCACCACCTCATTTGTCAGTGTTTCATACATTAAAGGACATTCCTCAATCACCAGCCTGGGGTGCCTTTGTCCTCTGGGTGCTGCATACTTCTGGCTAGAACAGAAAGAAAGCAGTCTTTGTCAGTAGTTTACTGCTAACTTGGACAAATATAGAATTCTGTTCTTTTGAAATAGTTATGAATGAAATCCTGACAATGCTTCTTCATACTTTTACTTAGAACTCTGTGAGTTTTGGTGTTTTGTTCTGTTTCTTCCACAAAGTGGCAGGTACTGTGTATTAAAATGTCAGGGTGAGAATATTAATATTTCACAGGAATTTAACCTTAAGAATGTTAACAGCTATCTCTTGGAAATTGAGCTTTATTGACAAACTGCCTTGCTATTGCTATAAATAAACTCCCAAATCTTTAAAATCACAAAAAATACAAATGAGAGTTATAAATGCAGTATGCACAAAACAGGTTTGGTTTTGTAGAAAACACTATGTGTAGAAATTGTACTTTTACACTGTTAACATGCTGCCTTTTTTTTTTCCCCCCCCTAACTAAAGCAGAGTTGCAGCAATTGAATGAAATATATTGTAGGCAAATACTAGAAATAGAATGCAGTAAGTTACTTTGGGTTAATGTTTAAGTCACTCAGATTTGAGATTCCAACAAGCTATAAATTCCATGTAAAGTTAATGAATAGTTTTATTCTAAATCATCATGTTTTATCTAAAGCCAATTAGGTTATTACTCAATAATATTTGGTATGTATCAATTATATAATGGCATTTTATTTGATGTTTCCTTCACACAATTGTTTGCTTTAGAATGAAACACCAGTGAGACACACTCAATTATAAAAGGTTACTTGCCAGATAATAGTTGGAGAAGGTGTATTTGACTATAGGAATACCAGCACAGGTCCATGGCCCCTGCACAGGAAATGGGGAATCTACAACCAACAGTTTCCCACGTAGGCTGAGGGTTCTTGCCTTGGACCAATTCAAGGGGCTAAAGGTTCAAACCATGACTCTGTAAGGATTCCACATCTACAGGGATGAGCTGAGCTGTGGGAGGTGCATGCTGGCACTGTTGGCTCTTAGAAGCTCCAGCTCCCGAGAACAAGTATTCTGATTTTCTTACTCAAGCATTTCCCCACATGGACAACATTCAGCTTCTTTGCAGATGAATTCCAGAGGTAAGTTGTATGACCAGCAAACAACGCTGACAATGCTTCTTGACACAGTGTTTGAGAAGCATCCTCAAATGAGCCACGTTCTACAGCAGCATTGCTGGAGCAGCACACCAGGGTGAACCTTCCAACTCACACCCTCCCTCTTCAAGAACCTTTGTGCATTGCACTAAGCCTCAGGAGCAAAGGGCAAGTATCCCAACTCTTAATGCAATAAGAAATCCACTTCTCTAGTTATTCAAAGTAAGAACAAAAGGTTATCTTCTCTGCATTCAAAGGATAAAATAGTAAAATTTCTTTGTACGTTTTCTTTGTGATTGTGACACAGTGAAAACAGGAATAAAGCAAGATACAAAGCTGGAATATAAACCCAACCTACAAAGCCTTTGTATGGCCCCCAATTGCAGAATGATTATTTCCTTCTTAGTAAGAAGGAAAAATAAACTAGTTCAGATAAGCCAATTCACACTTTATAAGTCATTTTCCATGTATAATACTCTGAATGGAAAAGTGAAAACACCAAAGATTTGAAAACAAAGAAAAAACAGACAAGAGAGAATTGAAAGCAGCTTATTACTCGCCTAGTGTTTTGTTGAATCTATTTGTTGCAAATTCTAAGACATGACACTTTATGTGATGATACTTTATTATAAAAATGTATTAAAAATAAAAGGTAAACCAGCAATTTATCTTCCCACAGATTATGATAAGCAACTTCAGGTTTTTGCTGGACATGTACTAAGGCACAGTAAGCAGGCTATTGTATGCTTAGTGTTAATAAAACCACATGACTAACTTGCTCACCTTCTAGACAAGGATCAGCTACTTGATTCTTTGAGGGGCTCATTTCAAATTGGTAATAGACCATGCACATTGAGCAATCCACTTACAAATGCCTTAATTAATAAATCAATGTATTCAAATGGTTTCACTGTTACCTCAGTTTCACTCGTGAGAGCACCACTCGGTACATGTGGCTGGCAGGGAAGTCCCTCCTGTGCCCCAGGGGCAGCAGGAGGGGGTGGATGGCTCCCACCACGAACCCTCGGCTGTAGAACTCCTCCACCTTGGAGGCGATATCCAGCACAGAGCCGATCTTGATAACTTCTGGGTTGGAGGATGCTACAAGCATTGACAGCAGAAGAGAAGAATGTTATACTATGCATGTCTATATACTTTATGGTTGAGTTCCTTTTGTATAAAACAAACTCTATCCCAAGGCATTTACTAAAAAGCTACAGTTCTATTTGTACAAGAAAAAGCAGATTCACAGATGCTTCAACACCATTCAACTAGCTAAGCACATATTTTTGCAAGTTAATGTGATGTATTTTCAATCTATTTGGCAACACTTTCTGTTGGATCTAGTTTTGCCAAACTAATTTAAGAGCTGCATTGGTACAAAACCATAGAATTGTTTCAGCTGGGATAGGCCTTGAAGGCAAGTCCAACCATTAACCTGACACTGCCAAGCCCACTACGAAACTGTGCCTTTAAGTCTCTCATCAACATGTCTTTTAAATACCCTCAGGGATGATGACTCCACCATTTCCCTGGACAGCTTGTCCCGCTGCTTAACAACCCTTTCTGTGAAGAAGTTTTTCTTAAAATCCAGTGTAAACCTCTCCTGGCAAAACTTGAGGCCATTTCCTCTTGTCCTAGCACTTGTTACTTGGTCATCTAAACACACAGTAAGTCTGAACCTAACAAAACAACTACTTTGTCTAGCCAAAGCCTTAAATATACTGAAGCAGCATCCTTCAATCCTAGTTAAGGTAGGTTTCCAGCCTCATAGCATTAATAAAAAAATTATATTGTTTTGAAATGCATAACAAAATGAAGATGCATAGAGTTTTTTTTTACTGAAGAACTTATTTTTCCTTTGTAGAACAATTTTTTTTTTTTTTAATTTTTTTTTTTTTTTTTTATCCCTTAGAAGTGATCTGGGGGCTCTAGGTTTAAGTTTTAACAGTCTCAATCCCTTTTTCCAGCAGACCTAAGCACAGGTCACATAAGTAAGCTCACTGATTTCCAAGGAGGATCCCTCTCCAGCCAGATTTCTAATCAACAGGCAATAGGTCAGTACTACACAGCTACAGGGGGCAGGTACATAGACAAAGGGAAAACTTTTTGGAGAACCTTTTTTGAATGGTCTGATCGAAAGCTTTTTCACATACAGGAAAGGAAGATTCCACACTAGTAATAGGTGAGCCTGAGAGTCATTTCCTTTTCCCCTTGGCTCCAACAGGAATTGCAGATGCTTTCAGAAAGCAGGAAGTCAATACCCATACACAGACAGTAACTGAAGAGTAATTATGCCAGCAGATATTTGACATAATCAAAAATTTCATCCTTTGCAGATATGAACTCTTATGACAAGACAGCTTGGCTTGGAATTTTATGGTCTCTTATGACCCTTTCTTCAAGTGATGCACTTTGTGTTCTGATGGGTCGCCCTCCTTGAGACACTTTCAGTGCATTAAGACCAACATTCAACTGTATTAAAGGATATCTCAATTGGAATTAAATGACCTCATAACTTTTTTTTTTGAGATACAAACATTTTGACATGCTGCTTGAAGTATACCCTTTCAAAACACACAATAAGCTGATAACAATACAGTAATTCTTTTTGAATACTGTACTAAAAAAAGAACAAATAAATGCAATAACATAAATCTCACTCACCACTTCGTAAATGTATTTTAGAGTTCATTTCATGTTCTTACATCCTCTTACCTACCTGCCCTATATTGTACACAGGCAACAGCAAGGAATTTAAGGACTTTATAACAGATGCAGCAAGCCACAAAGTCTACCTATCCTGCTGGTTTAAAATATAAAGCAGATACATGAATCTTTAGTTTGTCTAAATCTTTTCTTCTAACAAACCAAATTTTGTTCTGGAAAACATCCATCTGCTTTCCCACTCTAAAATGGGGATAATACTGACATATATACACACACATTATGGAAGGCTTTTTAAAACAACAACAACACCACCACATCAGAAACTAATATTTTACAACACTTAAATTCTTTTGAACACCAGCTTTTACCAGAGAGAGAAAATAATACTGATATATATACACACACATTATGGAAGGCTTTTTAAAACAACAACAACAAAAAAAACCACATCAGAAACTAATACTTTACAACACTTAAATGCTTTTGAACACCAGCTTTTACCAAAGAGAGAAAGGAATGGAGGTGTGCTTTGCTTGTCACTGTAAGAGCCTTAACAGCTCAGAGAGGCTACCAAGAGAAACTAGAATGCTGTGTGCTATGTCAAAGGTACACTACCAGAAAGTACCACTAACATATATATTGATGGTTTATTGCTGATAACTAGCAAACTCAACCTATTAATGTAAACTCTGCTGCTCTGTCATCAGGACTGGGCTGTTGCTCTTTCTTGTGCTACCTTGCCTGCCTCTTTTTTTTTAAAGCAGACAGTACATCACAGCCCCTCCTTTTGCAAATGGGTGGTATTTTGCCCTTAGTAACGCTTCTGTCACCTGAGTCCTCTCAGAATATAACCAGGAAACATGAAATATGTATTGAAAAAAGAACTGCTCTACAGCCCACAAGCCAAAAAAGCAGGAGTGCATGCAGCATCATCATCACTTCACTGACTTAACCATTTTTCATGAAGAAAATTTCCTTCCTGATGTGCTGTCAACAAGCAGCCAAAATACTTTTACAAATAAGAGAACTACAGCTACCTTGCTACCTGTTGAGACAGCATGCATGACGTTGAAGATGACAACAAAGAACCTATTTCATTCCTATTCATATTTGTAGCTCAGAGTGACTAGAACTTCATGGCATGTCATCTTAGTGAGCTTCTCTTATTTATCCATATTACTTCTCCTCCCTAATAGGAGGCTTGTGGAAAAAGCATAAACATTCTGCTTGAGTAGGAGTATATAAACCATCCCCACTTTATGGTCAAACTGACCTCAAAACACAACAGCTGTTTTTGTAACTGAGATATGCCTCATGATTGAGACTGTGCAATTTATGATCCTTGACAGGCATTTAAAATTACACTTCAGAGTTCACTGCTTCATTTCCTTTGTACTATTCAATCCCAAAGTAAAAGAGATGAGCTGTAATTTTCTTGCTTGGGGTTCTCCTGATGCAGAAGAACCTGCACTGCACTCAAAGCTGATTTTTAGAGTGGGGATGGGATCATCTTGGGGACCAGGAGGGGGAGAAGACAAGGTAAAATACATGGCTGGTAACTAGCTAAGGTGTGCAGGGACTGCAGCCTGTGAATTTAGGTTACAGCAAGGTTGACCTTATCTGCAACACGGCTTGGAAGAAGATCAGGGACTCCCAAAAGTCTCCCCAGCATGCTCTTTTAGACTTCATATAGCATAAATCTGATGAAGCAGAGAACAAGGCATATTAAATTGAAACAACACATCTATGCTTGCTACACTTCTATCTTAATGCAGGACATGGTTTACTGTAGGATCTTATAAATGACACTAAATATAGATTTTCTGCTTTACTTGGAAGATCCTGTGATACGGAGTCGCTCAAGCAAACAAATGTCAGATGCTGGGGCAGATCTTGCTCTGGAAATCAGCAGACAGTGCCATGAAGACATCACACAAGCTGACAGCAGAGTGAAAACTAACTTGGGTCTGAAGTGATAAAAGGCTCTCACTTAGGTTTCATTTAACCAAAGGATATTCAAGTATCCACAAATGTGTGCGACTGACTGAGGAAGAAGAAAAATAAAAGCCCAACATATTCTCCACAGTACTTTAGCCAATCTCCATGTTTCATAAGCAAACAATTCAGAAATGTCTTCAAGACAATATATACACTTTTTTTCTCTATTAATTATCTTAGCTCTAGAAAGTAAAGACTCCAAGCAAAAAAATATTTCAAGGTCACATACACACACAGCTACAACTACTCAACTGAAAGGTACCTGTGTTTACAAATCTATTCCTTACAGTTAGCAACCAAAAAAAAAACTTAGGCAGCTGTCTGAAACTGATCTCACTGTTTAGCATTCATAATTCCACAGTATGTCACTGCAGCTAAGTACTTGAATATCAGTCTAAACAGGAGAAAAATCTATCTTTACCACTGTACTGATAGATTATTAAAATACAGAGACATGGCTTTATTTGCCCTTGTTTCATGTGCTTTTCCTTAAGTCACAACCACCTTTACAACACAATCCTATACACAAAGCTTTCAAAAACTTGTTACTTTAAAACAGAGCAAAACTATCCACAGACTAACACCACTAAATATTCTTCAGTCTCAAAAAGAAAAAAGTTTTACTATCCTTTCTGCTATCAGTAGATTAGTAGGTAACCTATGTACACAACAGGCAGCCTGGCTTTATTTCCAGTATATTACCACCACTACTTGGTCCACAGTTTTGTTTCTTCAAAAAGCACAAGCCAGTGAGAAACTCTTCCCTTGTGTAAGCAAAGAGAACAACAAATACAGTTGGATGTCAAGTACTGTAACTTGGTAGAATGTGGCTTCTATTGGCATCTTGCAGTTTTTCAATAAACAGACTGATATATTTTAAATGTAATTATTACTACAGTCCTTTAATTTACAGTTAAAATTAAGCAAAGGCCAAGTTCTGTGTAAGAAATTCCTCAAAGTGTACAAACATGCACTTACTCTCTCCTTCTATCAAACTTTTCTAGCAATAACTGCATTCACTTCCAACCCTTGTTATTACAAATTTCTAGTAGACTGGATTGTTATAAAACTGGAGTTACTACAAAGTGAGTGCAAAACTGAGCTGTCTGTTCTCAGAGGGCAGCCATCTGGGCTTGTTTATGTTTTCAACTCTGTGGAACAGGGAGTTGCTCTGTTAGAGAGGGGACACCCTCGGGAAGGAAGTATCCCACAGAGCACTGTCTGCCTCCAGCTACGCATACAAATTTTGCTTTATTTCAGTCACGATTTCAAAAGACTATTCAACAACTGCAAGTAAAGCATGTGAGAAAAAAATAGTAAGATGAAACCGTAATACTCTTGCTAAAATATCTTCCAAGAGGCTGGGGTAGGCATAGCAGGAGCTCCTCCTGGTATATAACTAAGAAACAGACTTAGTTCTGCATAAAGTAACAAGGACAATGACAGCCTGTTTTCAGAAGTTGAATGTATTTTTAAAAATTGTTATTCAATTAAGGCTCAGGCACAGTGTATTTTCTGACCCGTCACTGCATGCAGACAGCCACTGTTCAAAGGGAGTAGGATGGCAGCATCCGACCCACAGCAGACGAGGAAAATCTCCTTAGCAGTTTTCAGCCAGCTTCCTTAACAAGGACAGTTGTGTAATTTGGAGGGTTTGGTTGTTAAAAATACTTCAGTAGCTTCCATTGTGATTTTACGTAAGTGAGGACCTTCCTCAGGATTTATGTTTCAAAATAAAAGTCTTACAGTTTTGCTAGATTTGAGAAAACTATCTTAAAGATTTACTCTAAGTCAAACAAGACAGAGCTATGTTAAATTCTACTCCTTGCTTTCTGGGAATAGTAAAGATAAAACATAAAAATATACCTTCTAAAGTAAAATCCAGCAAAACATATTCATAAGCAGAATCTGCCTTTGTTTCAACTTGTGGTCTCTTCAGTGTAGAAAAGATTTTTCCAGGGCTGCTATCATCTGGGTCTTCCAGCTTTCTCAGTCCGCACCCCATGGCAAGGTCTGCAAATGATTAAATCACAGAAAAGGGTGGGAGGGGAGCAGCAAGATCTGGTGCGCTCACTACGGGGGGGGGGTGGAGAAAATAAAGTAGCCAAATAATAATTCCCTTGGATTTTGTTTTCTCTTAGCTGTAAATCCAAACAGAGAAAAATTCCGGTTCCCAAATCAAGCAGCGAAGGTACTTTCCATTCATTTTTCTACAGAGAAACAGCCCAGGGTGATCTCAAGCCACAGACTTGCTAAGAGTAGGCTTCATTTTGCAGCAGTGTTAGAGCTGCTACAAACTAGCAGAGATTTTCCATGCCACGTCAATTTACAGCCAGCCCCCTATCAGTGCTCTCTTCCAGAGGACACCAATAGTGCTTTGTTTGTCCTTCTAGACTGACGGGGTGAGGGGGGGCAGGAAGGGGGAAGAAGAACTGAAAAAGAAAGTTAGAGAAACTTGCCTGTAATTACTTACCTCCAGAAGTTCTCAACTGCAGTAGAAAGTCAGCGAGAAAAAAGCAAGTTAGTCAGAATGAAAGAATGAGAAAAAAGCCTCAACATGGTTGGAGACGAAAATCATTTCCAGAAAGGAAGTCAGCTTCAAGAGGAAATTGCTTCTGGCATCTCAAAGGGTAGAAAAGTAAATGAAAAACAGTTTAGTCCTTATTTTAGATTTCAAGTTAGGTTCCTATTTCCTTTCCACAGGAACTTTCTTCCAGAGGGAGAAAAAATAAAACCCACCAGCATGAACGTAGGGTAACATATTGTAATAATGTAAAAATATGGAGTAAGGAAGTTTCTTGTCAAGAAAACCAATAAGAATGTACATCACTAAAAGTGAGCTTATGGGTTTTGATAAATACTGAAAAATTACACTAAAATACTCCTCATTTCAAATCAGGAAGACATTTTCAATATTATATACAAATATAGTTACCAGACTTGGTTCCTCATTTTTCTTGGGTATTGAACAACTGAAATCCCCTTCTCTGCCAGGCTGACCTCAGCTGCTACAGCCACACTGAGGTCAGCCACAGACATGCAACACTGCTTCCTGTGTCAATTCTTCTCTAGGTTCTGAAAAATTAGGATATTATCAAGGGCTCTCCTTACTCCTGTATCAACTACTGCAAGTCACTCGTAACAGTTTACACCTGATGCAGACTCTGATAATGTGTGGGGAAGAAGGAAAAAAAAAAAAAGCAAGGAGCAGTGATGGATTTTCTAGGGTCCTGCTACTGCCAGGGTAGGCACTCAGAAAATTTACCTTTTTAGTTTTAGACTGCATTTAGAGAAACTGAGTCATCCAGAGAAAAACAGAGATTCAAGATACTATTTTGGATGAAAGGAACTGCACATTTTAAAAAAACCTATTCTTTACTTCTTTCATTGAAAAGCATTAATCTTATCAAAAAGGCACACATTTTCTATAATTAATAACTGAAAGTCAGGCATTAATAATTTGTGGTTTTCTTCCTGTTCTGCTGCACGTAAAGTCACCTTTCAGTTAAGTGGCTTACTAGCAATGTTAAGTCAGCATATTGCTACAACTGAAATTTTGGAAGATTTAAAAAAAAAACAAACAAACCATAAAATCACTGAGTGCAGAGCCTAGGACTGAAGTCATAATTATTGCATAGAGTCTTTAAAACAAGCTCCTAGGTGCTCAAACTGAGGAAATCCCTCAGTCTTGTCTTGATTAAAAGCTAAGAAAACATATCAAATTAGCACAATCCTTCAGCTTCCTGCATGTCTGCTGATGCAGAAATTGCTCCCAAACACTGTTTTCTTTTTCAGTAAAGGTCATCCCTGAATTGCTGCTATACCAGACATACATGTCAACTGTCCACTCAACCCTGAGGATCCTGCTGCTTCATTCCACACAGTCCTGAAGATCCACTGTAACCACTTGTATATATAGCCATGGCATGACTAAGATAGCTGCAAGTAAAACAGCTTTTACAGCACTACTTCACTTGCCAGCTGGTTGCTTTTTTTATTTAAGTAAAAACAGCTACATTTTAAATGAGGCTAGAATATAAACTTTTGAACTATTCACAATGCTTAAATTTCAATAATTTCCTATTTTCAAACCTCCCACCAAGACAGGTTTCATAGTATAGACAAACTCTTACAACATCAACACAGAAACATTGTTATGGATGGACCAATGGTCCTTATTTTGCATAACCCTAGATTCATTATGTAGGTATAAGCTTCCAAGTTGGAAATCTGTCAGCAGTTGCCATCGCAGACTTGACACAAAAGTCACTACACTGAACCAAGTGAACATTTTTAGTGGAGGACAGGCTTATTAATAAGCTAATTAAGGGGGCAAATTACAAACAAGCTAAATTAGTCAGATTTCATAGAATCATAGAATGTTTGGGTTGGAAGGGACCTCCATAGGTCATCTAGTCCAACCCCCCCTTCTATAAGCGGGGACATCTCCAACTAGATCAAGCTGCTCAAAGCTTCATCAAGCCTGACCTTGAACCAGTTGAGATTTCTCAACCTGAGGGTATCTGAACAGCTACAGGAGCCAAACCCAACATGTTAAACCAGCCCTAAATGTTAATAATCTCAAATTGCAACACATTAGAACTTCAGAGTTCCTCTCTCAACTTCATTTTAGGGTCACTTCATTTTATGACTCAAGGCAAATGTAAAGTTTTTGCCTGGGACAGGATAATGACAGAAAAGGCAAAAAAAAAGAAATCCCATCAGAAAAATCTGCTATTCAATGGTCAAATATTTTTCTTATCTCCAGTCCCAAAAACTATAACTAATCCACTGACAGTTGTTTTCTTCTGTAGAATGATTTGATTAAAACTTTTGATTTTAATCAAATGTTTTTAAGAAAGGAGCAGTGTTCCATTCTGAAGGCTCCTTCATATGACAACTTACATTTTTTCTTCACCCAATATTTTTTTCCTTTGAAAGAATAATTTAGTGAATGTAACAGGAACTGGGTGTTCTAGTTTCTGATTAAAACAACCAGAAATATTATGAACAGTATCCTGTTCAACCTGGATGTACACACTTGCATAGACTGCAGCTCCACAGACAGGTACAAAATGACCACACAAGGCCCTCAGAGTTTCAACACTTCCTCAAATTTGTGACTGAACAAGTCCACGAAGGCCTACACTTGCCCATTATATCTCTTAGCTACATTATTAAAACGAGAGCTACATATTACTGTTCTGCTTTTTATACTTTTATTTGGATTTTTGGCATAACAGCTTATAAGGATTTGCATATAGGGTTGCACACATGTATCAAGACATTGTATTTTGGAACCTTAGAATACAAATTTAAACTAATTTTTACTTAAATAGGAAACATACGAACTTTAATACCAAGTAAATTGAAACTACTGTAGAACCTCAACATTAGGAAGCCACAAAACTATTTTACTAGTTTAATTGTTACTGTAAAAAAACTATTCTACAAACATACAACTTCTCTTATTATAGAACTATGTTAAACAGAGAAAAACATTTCAAGAGAGCCATGTGTTCTGCTAGTTTCTGCTCAGTTACTATTGGAGGGCAGTTTTACTCAGTGACTTAATTTTTTATGAATTTGAAAAATTAATTTCAGAACACAAAGAACTGCCAATTTAATATGAAACTAAACAGGTTTGGGGGGATGATAAATAAACTGAGTGCTTAAAACTAGAAGTAGCAAGAACCAAAAATGTGAAAGGAAATTTCTACTTAACAAAAGAAAAACGGAGTCCTTGATCAAACACAAAAATACCTTAGAGATGTAACTTTTCTGTCTCCAGATTTTTACCAAGTGTTACCTAGTAGAAAATGTTAGAACATTTTGCTATATAAATGTAATATTAAATAGGCAACAGGAACAGAAAAGGAAAGGTACCAGCAGGGTCTCTAAATCCTAGGGAGCAGAAGGCAGAAAATTAATTTACTTTACTAATACGTGTATGTGACAAGCAGTGCATAAAGACAAAGTTGATTATTTGCCATTAGCCACTGAATGTCCCCAGGGCACAGTCCTAATCTGCTGTGTTCCCTCCTAGCACATGTGTAAAGCCTTACAACTACCAAGGGGAAACTGCAGGAGACTGAGGAGAACATTATCCCTCTCTCCAATCCCCAGCATCAAGTGAGGAACAGGATCTTAGTATCTGTAGTTAACTAAAAGATTTCTGTATAGAACCACAGGTTCCTCTGTATTATGGAAATTTTGAGTGGCAGAAAACTAATACTATGTAATGCAAAAGACTAAGAAAACTTAAAAATGCCACAACACCCCAACCCAACTGCAGGCTCTAGCTGGGGAAGTGACATAGCTCTTTCTCAGCACCTATCATTTGAGTATCCCTGTAACGGAATTACACAGGTCAGTTATTATTCCTCAGTTGTGTCTCTGGAAGGATTCAACTACTGGAAGCTTAAAGGTTCAGTCACTACTGATTGATATTATGCCATCATTCTTGGCAAGCATTTTACAGAGATAAAAGCTACAGTATCAATGGAGAGCTCTCTTTTTTTAAGGTGGTACTTGCTGTAAAATTTACTTTGTGGATCTCTAAAGCATTTTAAGAACAGGGAAGTTGTGTCTGGCAAGCAATTTATCAATTCCAACAGTAAGAACTATACCTTCTGAATCCTAGGTCAAATGCATATTTGTTTCAAGGTACAAGAAACTGGCCTTAACAGAACACACCACCTCTCCTTGGTACAGCATTTCATTAAAAAGCAATATTTTCCATGTAAAAATACTTCCACAGAAGTGAATTATTATTAAGATGTGCCAGTATTTCTGTAATCTGTTTATACTGATGAATTCTAAAATCTGAAAATAAAACTGAACAGCAACCAGGCAGACATTTTTTGTGGTACAGACTGGCTCAGAAACATAACAATCTACAGTAGATAAGTATTTCCCCCCTCAAAAATAGGCTGAGATCCCCACGTATCCAACAAATGGTATCTCTTTGATGCTTATTGGTAAAACAATCCCCCACAGCTGCTA